TGATTTTTAATTTTTGCGCGGAAATGTTTTTGGATCGAACATGAAAAATGAAACAGAAGAAAATTTTATTTAAAAGGGATTTTAATGGATTGAGCTTATATAACGTTTCCTCTTCAACACTAAACAAGCCCATCAAGCCCAATTAACCCATCGAAAACCCTAATCATCCACTATATAAAGGAAGAGGATGTTAGACTTAAAGACCAAGAGTGCAGCTGCGCCGAAACCCTGACCGTTTTACTTTTCACCTCGTAAACCCTAGCTGCCCTTGGAACTGAACTGCACTGCCGGGTTGAGAGACGAGTTCCCGACGAACCGTCATGAACTGTACGACGATATACATATCTGTGGAAAGGTCCGAGTCTCAGCTTTCCAGAAAATCCAATAACGTCTCGATCCAAGTTTTGTGGTGAAAGTTATGGCATGTTCTTTCGAACTGTTGCGATATGTCTTATTCTCGAACAACCGTAGATTTGACCAGTTTCGGTGGGGAATAGAAACCAAGGATCAAACCTGTTCATATCGATATGAATATCAGTAAAGACTTTTCTGACTCTCTTATTTACCCAAGGCAGAAAGCGGTTTGTCATTTGAAGTTGTGATATGAAAGGTATGGATGTTTTCTCGTAGTTGTTATTTGCTGTGAGAGTTTCCGACCAGTCAGAGGAGAATTTACGCTACAGTTTCGTCAATGATCGGATGAAGCTTATATTTGGTAAGCAGATTCTTAACTCTCTGGTCTAATAATATTTGAAAGAAGTTTGTCATTCGGTGTTATGGTATGAATGTTATGGATATTGTACTTGGACTGATATGTACAGAGTGAGTATGCGACTAGCCGTTTTCACATACATTTTTTGGCCAAATCTGGAAGAACTAGATGTTGATATGGGCGTCATTAGAAAGATCACGGATTCTAGTTTTTGTAGAAAATTTCGGTTCTAAATTATGAGGTATGATTTGCTCGTAATTCGTATTTCAATATTGAGAAACATCAATGTTTCTGAAACTGGAATTCTTATTTTCATATCCGATTCGAGAATTTGTAAGCTGATTTCCAGTCGTTCTGAAGGGACCCAATATAATAGACGATCTGGATATCATTGAAAAGCTCCGAGTCATGGCTTTCTAGAGGCACCAAGTTTGTCTTGATCTGAGGTACGAGTAAGAAGTTATAGCTGTTTTCTTCTGACTGGTATAATTTGGCCGAACTGTATACACATTTTAGGAAGTTTAATAATGGAATGTTAAACATGGGTTCCTAGTCGCAGATTCACAGTAGCTCATCCTTCTATGTTCATTCTTCCGTGTCAATCTATCCAATCTATAAGGCTAAGGTGAGGATGTTGTCTAGATTACTTTAATACTAGTTAACAGTAGATGTTCTTACATGTTAGTCTAGGAATAGAATATGATGTTCTTGATTATATATGCTAAGTCTAGG